AAAAAAATCTTATTTCAAATACAAATCATTATTTCTAACCTTGTCAATGTCTTGACTCTATTTTCTATTCATTTCACAACGTATGGTGGTGAATGAGGGAGACTTTTCAGGAAAACACAAAATTGTTTGGGTGACCCCAAACTTTTGAACGGTACTGTATTCCTAAATAGATCTAATTTACAATTTAATAAAAATGAAAAAAAAAAATAAAAATGTGTTGAAAGAAGGTTTTAATGTGTTGATGTTTAAGCCGTGTGTTGATGAGCCAAACATCTTGAATTGTATTCAAGGGTCTGAACAAAGTCAACAAATGGCCTCTGAGCTACACTTTGGAGACCCGCAGCCTAACCTTTTCAATGAGAAAGTCTTTAAAAGGTTTTGACATTTTTCCACATTTTATTGGAACTTTTATTGGGTGCATTTATGTTACGTCGCTGTAAGAGAAAGTTTTGTAGAACCGCCTTTTGCTGAATTTATTGCTATAAGTCCCTTTGGGGCGAATCTCTGCCCACTTGTCAGTCATATTCTTACCAAAGGTTGGGCAATATGGCTAAAAAATCAGATCTAATTTTTTCCTAATTGATCAGTTTTTTTTTCTCTCTTAAATTTTAAAATTAAAACCCCAAAATGACATATATTGCTTTTAAACAACCCTGATTGGAGGTGAGCTATAGGGCAATTAGTTAAGCTGTGAAACAAGCCTGGAAAATTATCTGGTTTCACACCAAACAAATGAAAATATAATAAACTGAATGTTTGCAGCTATTGGTGCCACACAGTTAGCCAGTTTATCAGCTTTAAGCAGGGAACCTTTCTTTTCTGCTGCTTCAGGCGTTTTTTTTCCCAGCTGTGAATCAAGTTTAGCTTCCTCCTTCCTTGGATCATACCTGAGCAGCTTCCTCGTTCTCACTGAGGACAGGATTTCCTTCTCTTTGATTTCCAGAGGTTTTAGAGCAGTCCCCAGAACAGAACCCAGCGTCTTTATCAGCTTATTGAGCTTGTTTGAGTCTCTGCTGATGGCAGAATAAATCACCTTTTTCACAGCAGAATCATTGAAGACCAGCAGCATCTGATTGAGCTAAGGTTCTTTTAAAATACAGACGGCTTCACCGTTGTGTTTCCGGCAGATTATTCTAGTCCTGCAGGTTTTAAGGTTTCATTCTTCATGCTGTTCTTTGTTTCCATCAATCAAAGGCTGCCCTCAGATCTGCAGCAGAGGCTCCTGTTGCTCCTCTCCTCCCCAGCAGAGCAGCTTCAGGTGCTTAGCTCTGCCGTGCTCAGGGAGACACTGCCATCTTCTGGCGAAGAGCTGAACAGCATCCAGGAAAACATCAGTCAGCTGAACACTCACACTGCATCTCTACTCATCTCACAGGTTAGAAATGAAGGCTAGAATCTTGCTCTAAACTTTATGCTACTGGTGAGTCATTCCAGTGTGGTTTTGTGTTTCTGTTCGACTCCGACCGGAACAGGCCGGGTCCAAGGCAGAGCTGTCCAGTCTCTGTGCACGGCTGGTTCATGGTCTGGAAGGCAGGCCGTCAGAAGGGACAGCTCGCTCGCTCATGTTCACCCTGCCGGCTCTCAAGAGCATTGTGACCCTGAGCCCAGAGTGCCTCACAGAGGGTAGGGAACAGACAAAGCAGCCGGAGGCGGCTACTCTGTGCTCTGTGTCATGTCTCTAAATGTCAAGAGGAACTTTTCACCAGGAGTTTTCTTCTTGTAGAACATGTAACCATCCTGAGTCAGAGGATCATCGACTGGCTGCGTTATGCAAGCATTGTACAGGGAGGAGGAGCCTCTTCTGGGGGATTCTTCACAGGACCCCGATCCCGTCAGGTGACAAATCTGGTTTTGACATTTTTCCTGCAACAATAGGCCTAAAAAATGTATATTTTAATGTTTTTTTTTTTTTTTTCAGCCTTTGCCCACAGCAGAGCTGGACGGCTCTGTGTCGGGGGACTTCTTCACTGTGCTCTGTGTGGGACAGGGGTTCACAGAGGACCAATGGATGAACGTCTACTCGTTTTCCATGCTGCGCCGCTGGCTGCTCACCTACCACTCTGGTTCTAGCAGCACAGTAGACGCTGGTACGACATCAGCCCTGTATTTCGTAGAAATTATGATTGGCTCTTGGAATCTTTGTGATACAATAATAATATTAATATAGAAAGCGAAGCCTATTTTTTAAGTAAAATGAAAGGGATGGAAGTTTTTTTTAAACTGAAAAACAAAAATTGTCACATGCAATTATTATTAGCTACCTTTATTTAATTGAGAGCAACACAGAACTATTTAGACCATTGTGAAACACGGTGGTAACAGCATCATGCTGCAGTGATTCTTTCCTATTACAGCAACAGGGAGGCTGGTTTTAGTTTGTGGGATTAGGATGCAGCCACATAAAGGTTAGAAAAGCTGTTGGACTATGAAAGAATTAAGAATTGGCAGGAGGTTCTGCTTCCGGAAGCCTCCATATCGTCTCATCTCTGCATATTTTGGAATATTTAGATTTAAAGGATATGTGTTCAGTCCATGTTAAGCCAGATCAGTTTCCTAAATATTATGAATATTTAGGGGTCTTAAGTTGAATTAGTCCTTTACCTCAGAGCTGAATCAGATGCTTGCTTTGATGTTGCTTCGTGGAAAAGACTCGATAAGGAAACTGTAAAATGTAAATGTTTGAACATGTCCCAGAGAAACTTCCTGGAAGAAAAACAGAATTTTGAAGAGGAAAACAAACAGAGCTGTTTGAATGCTTTTAGACCCAATAGTTCATTTTCTCCTATGCATCATAGTGAGTTAGTGTTTGTTTTTTAAAGGGACGCAATGATGAAAGGTTGAAAGGCCGGAAATCAAATGTTAGGGCAATGTATATTAGAATCTTATAGAGGGATCCCGACTAAGCTGGTCAACATCTAAACCAAGGAGAACAGACACCTGCTTACCAGACAGGGACTGTTCATTAACCCAGGAATCACAGAGGTTACTCTACCTTCACATCATCAACCTGAAACAACCTGCTTTTTGTTCTTCATCACCTCCAGCAAACAGGCTACAGCTCAGCCTCTCCCACTCCTACGGTAAGGCAGGAGGATCCTGGCTGCATGCGTTCACGTCTGAGACTCCTTAACCGAACTAAACTTTTTCACTTCACCACATCTGGATATGATGCTGGTGCCTCCCGGCCGCACCGGACCCTAACAAACAATCCCTAACCGAACGTCTAACAGGAACGCTCTAATCCCTACCCTCCTCTATCATATACCGTAGTTTGTCTTCTTCAAAAAAGTTTCTCCTGCTTTCACTGAGCGACGTACTAACCATGCCGAATCTCATATAATTGTTTTTATTAACTTTTCCTCTTTTCTTTGTCAAAATGTAAATTTATGCTCTTGATAATGTAAAATCAGATGTTCTAAAATAACACAATGAATCTCTAAAGAATTTGGGCTGATACAGATTTTCTTTAAACAGTTTTATAAGTTTGAATTAGGGCATTAGCATCAACATTAGCATCTTAAAAAAGAATCTGTAAAAAAAATGCATGAAACAATACGAATTAATACTTTATTCTGCATGTAGTATTTTTGTGAATGTATTATTTTTGAAAAGGAAATTATCTCAATTAGAAAAGTTTTTGACCTTTAAAATTGAAAAACCTTTTTTTTATATAAACCTGATCCATTCAGAACTGCTTAATTACTATTTCTGATTATTGATTCACTAATTTCTGATTATTGAATTTAAGTTTGATATTTTAGATATTTAGAATGCATTTTTAACTTGCAATTAATGTTGTTTTGTTTTTTTAGTTCAAACTTTTTTTTAGGTTTGTTTTCTTAGAATATCTGTTCATAACATAATTCATTTACTAAAATAATCACTTCCTGCCTGCAGCCCCAGTTTAAACAACTAAATAAGTGGAAGCCTTCTTTACCTTCAACTATTAAGGAATCCCTGAAGTTTTACTTTATTAAGCCTTTTCTTAATATATGTTTTTATTAGTCATGATGTTTTATCTACAGAAATTGTCCTCATGTCATCAGATTAATTAAAATCTGTCAGGATATAATTGTCAATTTTAATCAATAAATAATTGTTATAATTGTAATTTTTTTCTCTTTAGTAACTTTTGAAAATATTTGAAAATAATGCAGATATTTTTCTGATTCTATTGAGACTTTGAAGCCATAGTTTTACCTTTTTTCCATTTCTGCTTTTTGTTAAATCAATCTGGGTCCAGATGTTGTTTCTTGGGAATCCTAACTTAATATTACGGAGTTTTTAATCCTCTGAGATTGCTTGTTGCAGATGATCGATCTGAGGTGGATGGATCAGTGGTTTCCATGGTTTCGGCAACTTCCTCCTCCAGTCGGCTTCTTCCTCCAAAGGAGCGTCTGAGAGAGAAAGCCTTCCAGTACTGCCAGCGTCTGATCGAGCAGTGCGATCGCAGTGAGTGCCTTAGTTTCCATGTGTGAGCGATACTTCAGTCTGAGAGGATCAACTCTGACATGGATCATTCTCTTTCTCAGAGGCGCAGAAGAAGGCCGACACAGAGCTGCAGAAAGCGGTGAGATTGGCATTGATATGTTAATAGAGACATATATCTCATAGCAAAGATAAGGATCCTGCACTAAATCTGACCTTTTTTCTGCACTATGAGCAAAATAAATAACAATCCACATTGAAATATCAGCCCCCCAGTGTTGAATGTGATGCAATTAGACCAACTTATTCAGTTTAATTGATATTTATTATATATTCATTTCTCCTCTAATATACTGCTCTTAAGCACTAACCTATGTTACCAACTTCGGTTTTTGTTTAGTGGTCACCTTTATGTTTCCAATCAACAAAATTTAATTAATTGGTTTTAATTTCACACAGTTTAAAACAAGAAAGCCAACCTTGTCCAATGTTGGGAAGAAACTTAAACACAACTGTTCAAATCATTATTTTATATCTGTGAAAGATTTAAGTGTAGGCTTTGACTAGGCCACTCTGTTTTCAGGGTTGCTGTAGTGGAGTGCTTCAGATTATTGTCCCACTGTATAATCCAACTGTGTTTGAATTTAAGGCTACAAACTGGTGGTTTCCATCAGTTACATCAGATCAACCAGGAGCTAAAGCGTCCCCAGATCATTACACTACCTCCGCCATGTTTTATTGGAGTGATGAATCACACTTTCCACAAAGTCATTAGATATTTTTAATAGATTATTATTTGGTTTTTTTTGTTTATTTTTTTCTTCTGCTCAGCCGCAGTTTTATCCTTTAGCTCTCCAATGATGTTTCTGCTCAGCCCTTCTGTGCTATTGTTCAATGATAAACACTGAGCTTAGTCGCGGCGAGCAAGTCCTGCTGGGCCTAGGTTGTTCTTTAGTTTATTGTGACATCCTTGTTAACAGGCTCTGGAAGACATTTTTGTTTGTGAGAGTTCTCCACTGTTTCACATGTTCTCTGTTTACTGGTTTATTTGGATTTCTTCCTCACTTAAGTTAAATAATACTTTTAAGGGTTTGCAATAAAGAATTTAGAGTGCAAAATATTCTAACCCTGCTTCAAATAACAGGCTTCCTCTCTGTCTGTGTTCTAGTGCATGGCGGAGGCGGTGTGCATCCTGGACTGCGTGTGCATTGAGGAGCCCTCCTTGGTCTTCCGTGCGTTCCCGTCCATAAAGGCCCTGTTTGGTCGGCTGAGCTCGGATCTGTCGTTCGCCAGGGTGCTGCTGCCCGTAGCGCAGTTCTACCTCAACCACGGTGAGCCATGAAGCTATCGCTAATAACGACACATCACTGATCTGTGATCCTGTTTCTTTATTTCCAGTTCTGTAAGATCCTTAAAATGTATCATATATCAGAGTCTCTATGGATGTTTATTATCAGTAATTAGGTGTTTGTTACAGTTTTGTATTTATGTAAGAAAAATGTTTTTTTTTTTACTTGCTTATAAGAGATTAAATTAGACTTGATTCCTAGATTAAATATTCTATTTAAGCTGAATAAGGAACCCAAATTATGATCAGTTGCCTCCTGTAGAATGAAGATGATCACTTCAGTAAAAACTCTGAGTTTCTTCATCCATAGTTGGAAGGTCATTGGTAGGTTGTTGATGTGAACGTTTGCAGGTGAGCTGGCAGCTGTGGACTGTGAGAGTGTGTGGAAGTTGGTCTTTGGCCGCTTTCCTGCAGAACTCTTCAGTGACCCTTTCCTATCCCACGAACTGCTGCGCTTCCTCCGCCTGAACCTGGAGAACCTGCAGCTCAGAGTTCCCGAGTTTATCCGCTTCTTCCCAAACCTTCTGAAGGTGAAAGTTAGAGAACAAGCATACCGTGTACCGCTGCATGGTTTCCTGCTTACTTTGTGGCCCTCTGTAGTTTTTAGCGTGGGACAGCACTGCAGCTGTGGAGGATTTTGTGGATCTGCTGCCCTCCCTGGTTACTGAAGGTACTGCAGTGGAGATGCTTCATACGCTACTGGATCTACCATGCCTTTCAGCCACGCTGGTCCTGCAGCTCAGGTAAAAAGACTCTTAAACAAAACACATAAACAAACAAAGCTCTGGTTATTTATTCCCCGTCTCCGCTCGCCGCAGGTCCATGTCTCTGCCCATCTCTGAACCGAGCAGCCGAGGCTTGATGTCGCTTGACGCGTTTCGAAACCCCGCCTTCAGAGGGCTTTTCCTCTTTCTGCTACGAGTGGAGAGCGGCTCAGGTAGCTATGGATGTAAAATATTTTCCTATTTCACCCAAACACCGTGATGGAGAAGTATTAGTTAAGCAGGAACATACACCAGCCAGTTCTTCAAATAAGGATTTACATGATAAACCGACAAAGTAGTGAAGTGAAAGGAAAGTCATTGACTAATTTTATTGCAATAAAACTTTATATTCAGCTCTTTTATACACCTGAATTAATGAATCAGATGCCTTCCTTATATGTAGTAGAAATACCTTTTATTATTTTATTTTTGAAACATCACAACTTCTTCCATATTTTACAATTTAATTTTCAAACTATAGCAACTTTATTTCCATAATTTTACAACTTTATTCCTCTTATATGTTATAAATTACTTTTTGCCATTAAAAAAAAACAAAACTATATATTTATTAGCATGGCCCTAAAAAACCTGCATTTACTTTACCTTTCACTTGGTATTTTCTGTGTTTATTTATCACATACAATTCCAACAAGATCATATTTGTATTTTTTAGTTATATTATTAAAAATAAAGCTAAAAGAAAAGTGCTAAAAATGTATGATATGAAAGCAATAATTTATCATGATTATTTTCTAATTGTATGGTTGTGACTCCTAATCATAGCAGCTATAGCCACTTAAATACATTCCTCTAAAAACAAACAGAATTTCTAAATATTCTTCATAATATATGAAAAAGTTAGATTTTTTTATTATTAAAATGCATAACATAACAGTACATTTAATCATAATTAGGAATTTATTGATGCTCTAATGCCAAGTCGGTAACTTTTCAAATACAAAGGGCTGTTTTACCCCAAATCCTTCTAAAATAAAAGTCCTTTAGAACCATAAATATCAAATGATCATTAAATAAAACACAGATTTCCCTTATTACAGGAAATCTGTGGCTGTTTTAGTTAACACCAAACTATTTAATTGGATATTTGCTTTTTAACCCTGTAATCAATTTATCATTGTGATATTTTTGTTTTAAAAAAACATTTATACAAACAGTAACTCGAAGTGAACAGAACAAATTTAACAAATCACACAGAAATGCTTTGTGTATCACAAAAGACACACATATCTAATTTAATATTGCTTTTTATTTATTTTTCACAATGATCAATAAAAACTATGTTTTTGAAAAATTTCATTGTCTGACAATTATTTCATGTTTTAGGCATTAAAGGGCTGAAATAAGGACAAATATAGACATTTCTTAAATTTTGTTCTGAGCAAATGACAAGAGATTTTTTAATGTTTTCTAATTTTTTAATGTCATTCCGTTGAGAAAAATGTTATACAAATGTTCATTAAAGCTTCTAAAAATGCATTTGTTAATATATTCAAAACCATTAATAATTTCTTTATAGTTTTTTGCCATTATGAAGAGCCATTTTAGAGGCTCCAAAGAGCCACTTGCGGTTCAGGAGCTGCAAGTTTCAAACACTGGCTCTAATGGATCATATAGTGAAAAATGTAAAAATATGATGAATCTGAACTTTAATTTTCATGACTATAGAAGATCTGAATGTGAGCATATTAAGCGTTTCATCAGATGTTTCTCATGCTCTTTTAAAAACCACTTCCTGGTATTTATTCAGTGGAAACGCTTCCCTTTAGGTCACACAATAGACCGCTTGAGCACGCTCCACGATCTGCTGGCGGAGGCAGCCAACTGGCCCAGAGTCGTCCGCTGTGCCCAGGCGGTTCCACTGCTGCTGCACATTTATTTCAACACAGTCGTTACGGTATGACCGGAATGCTTCCAAGGGTTAGCCATCAGAAGCATGAACTGATGGATCTCATGGTTTGTTTCCAGGTGGCGGATGAGAAGCTGTTAGCTCATCTGGTTCTGGTGATGCTGGAGAGGAGCAGCCTGCTCATCAACATCCCCTCCTTCCACAAAGATGTACACAGGTACGCCTTAAGAGTTTCAAAACGAATCCGTCTCAGTTTCATACCTCCTTCTGCTCTGTCTCTGCAGGGTGTTTAGTAGCCACCTACTGAAGCTGTGCAAGCTCCGCCCCTCTCTGGTTGTGGACCAATCGCACGAGCTGCTGGAGTTTGCAGGGACCACAGCCAACGTCTACAGCAAGGAAGAAGTTTACACTCATGTGGTAATGAGACTCTTTGGGCTCGGAGGTGGATAAAGAGCTGTAGCCACTGCTTTATTTTTGTCTATTCACAGCTGCCATAGTGGGAACCACATCAGCTCCCATTATGGAATTTAATGGAAGGGCAAAACAAAGCAACAAATAATCGTGGACTGGAAGGAAAGGAATATGTAGAGCTGAAACAATTAATCGATTATTAAAATCATTGTCAACTAATTTAAGCAATTAAATGCCATTGGCTAAGAAAGAAACCCCCTTAGAGCAGTAATTATGCTAAAACTGTTTTAAAATAAAAAATGAATAAAGCTTTTCTGTGTATATTTACCATAAAAGAACATCAGGTGACCAGAATCACGTCACTATGGGTATGCACAGTGGGTGAAAAAGCCAAAGCAATGGAGACGAGAGAATGTGGAGCTCCCAGCTTAGTTGTGGATGAAAAGAGAAGTCCAAGATGAAAAGTAAAGAGACACAAGAATATGTTTCATTCAGAGAAACACTGGTTGCACTGGGTAAACAGTCTGACCATTGGAGTTTGCTAAAGCTGAGGAATTATTCTGATGCTGCGGTAGTGTTGTGAGTTTGTGTCCTAGCTAGTAGTGCTACTGGTGTTAGCATGCTTTAACCTCTTTAATCAGAGCTATTCGTTTTCCACAAGGGATTACGGCCAAATTGGGACTTATTTAGTAGCTTTCTCAAATGCCACTATATGGTGTTCTGATAGTTCAGCTGTAGAGGGCGCCATGTCTGTTTATGTCAGCTCATGGCGTCCAGTGCTGAGGTTCTATTTAGGCTCAAATAGAACGATTAAAACACTTTGAGGGGAGGTGCTTGGAATATGAAGCTTTATTTTATCATAACTGACTGAAGTTTGGTCTTTTTGGTTTACCTAAACTTTCTCTGCTAGCTGTATAAATCTAGAGATTGAACTCCATCCTTTTTTTTTTTTTTTGGAGCTTCCAGCTGAACTTCGCTGTTTCTCTCAATCTGTTCGTTGCTGTTTGTTCACTCATGCTCTTTAAAGGAAAAAGTCTCTGAGGCCAGATATAATAATACTGAGACTGACTGGTTCTGCTGGTTGGTTGAATTTTTTGGTCCTCTGCCTCCACACACCAGACAGCTGCTGACGCTGAGCTCTGTTTTCCTGATGAGCTCCTCCTGTTAAATAGGAATTTTTTCTTTCCATTGTCGCCACATGCTTGTTCAGTATTTACCTTAAGGTTTGCAATCAGCTTAGCCTCATTAAATGAATGAAAACTGGATTATAATCTCAGTCTCACTAACTGATCACCTCCAGTGTGTTCAGGTGTTCTGTTTTTGGTTTCCAGGTCTGGGTTTTAGGAGAGTACCTGTCAGCGTCGTCTGACTCCCGTTGCTCAGTGACACTCATCACTTCCTGCTTTGAAACCTTGGAGGCGGTACTGTTTGAGATAACCTCGTCCGCCCCACCCCCTGGAACTTTGTGCCCCGCCCCTAAGGTCATCACCACTTTGATGAGCGCGCTGGCTAAGCTGGCGTCACGATCACATGACCTCATTCCAAGGTGGATGACGTTTCTGTTTTTATTTGAGCTGCAGTTGGAAGGATGTAATGCGGTAACTTTTGTTATCGTCTCTCGTCAGGGTGTCTCTTTTCTTCTCCAAACTAAGAACCGTAGCCAGAAGCGGGCTGGTCCCCTGGTGCACCGATGAAGATGACCTCATTGCCATAGTGACGCGTGGGGAGGAGCTATGGTCTCTGCTAAAAGCCCCCGGTGTGGCTCAGAGTGTCCTGACCCCGCCTCCTCACATCATCACGCCACGGTGGCACAGGGACACAAACCTGGCCCTGCCGCTGCAGCTACGGGTCCTCACTAGGCTCACGCACTCACAGTGACGCACACTCATCCATCCTGCTGTGGTACTTTGGAAGCTTCTGGAAATCCATTCCATCTTTGCACCTTTTTTGTAAATAAATGAGATGAATGACTTGAAATGTAATAATTTGATGTTGAAATAATAAATCATACACGGCTTTGAAGTTTTTCTATTTATTGCAATAATATCACTGAAATATAGCATTTATACAAAAAATACTTTGATAAGAAGAAAAAAAAACAACTCTTCACTTCCTGAGTGATTTACAAACCTCAGTAGAAACATCCACTCTTCTCTGGTCCCTACTGTTCCATTTTTAAAAAATTTAAAAATCCACCTCAGCATGGATAATCTGGACGTTTAAGACGCTGATATCTAGATCCACCTCACGGATGTGATGTCACACCTGCTGGCTGAAAAGTGCTTGATAATCTAAGTGCTTTATGTTCGCAAAATAACTGCAGTTCTTGGTTCCAAGAACACAAAGATCGAGTGCAAGTGGCGACTCTGCAGAGCGTGACAAACAAAACAAGCCAGTAAAATAATTTCAAAGCCACTTTTTTTTCACTTTTACTGCAGTTCAACTAAAAAAGGACGGAATGTAGAATTCAGTATATAAATGTGCACACTCTTGGTCTGATACTCTGATTCCATAAAGTAGAACTGTTCTGGTAGTTTTTTGTTTCATATTCTGTTTTTTTGCATCCTTTAGCTAAAGCCTTGGTTTTAGAGAAGTAACCAACATTTAAAAGAATCTTATTAAAGAAAAGACAAGGCAGACACTAATCTGAACACGGAAGGAATCTTTACTGCTTCTCTTCTGCATACAAAACCATCTCATATACTTTATATTCTAAGGGGAAAAATATTTTTCCACCCTAAACTTTTAAGACTTCACCATAAACTTCCAAAACATTTGGGAGAGTATAAAAAACTGAAAGGATTAAAATTGGGAGTCAGAACAACAAAACACCCATACAGAGACATGGTGGTGGCAGCATCATGCTGTCTGGATTCAACTTAGGATTTTTGTAACAAGAAATGAAGTTATGATTAAATGTAAAAGAGGATACACAATATATCAGCGTTAACATCAGTGTTGGTCGTTTTAAAACATAATGGTATCAGTCCACTTAGTAAAACTGGACGGATTTAAAGAGCAGATATTAAGATTAGTCTATTTGCTGGTTTTTTTTCAAGAGGGAAAACTATACCTGCACTGCAGTCAATTTTTCCCAGCGTCACAAGGGTAGGAAAATATAGAGGATCTAAATATCGACAGCATGATGTCAGATATGAATATCGGCAGAGTTTTTCAAATCAGTGCTTTCCCAGCTTTATTTGTCCCAAACCGTTGATAAGGAGGGGTTTTATATTTCCAGAATCATGATCATTTCAAACCACCAAATAAAAAAAATAAAATAACCGACTGGACCATGGAGGTCCTCCCAGTCTAGTGGATCTGAGGAACTTTTGGAAGGTAGATTCAGAAAATATCAAGTCAACCAAAGAAATCGAGTAAAATACTAAAGAGTGTGCACACCTATAAAACCATTATTTAGACTTGTTTGTCTTTTAATGTGCAGGATATACTTTCCATTAAATTTAGAAGGAGAGTTTGCAATTTTTTCTCACTTTACAGCCCAAAAACCATGAAAACATAATCTAAATTCCCACTGCAGTCTGTCTTTATCTTTCCTGTAAAACGGATGACCTCCCCTTTAGTCAAATAACAATTGGGAGGTTAGTTACCTGTTCATGTCAATTTCCTAAATCCTCTTCAAATACAGTTGTGAGGTCTTTACAATAAAATAAAAATCAGTAACTTTACGACCAGGAGCTTAGCTTTTGGTCCTTGGACCGCAGGCTTTACGTCTCTCTTCATGGCCTTGTTCTCAAATCCACCTTCTAGTGAAATACAGAGAAAATCCTTCACAGAAAGTCCCTGTTAAAATCTCATCATGCAATAAAGTCAATAAATTAAAAGTGACTTTTAGCACCTTTGAAAAAATAAAAAGACTGTGTGGTAAGTTTTGGCACTCCAAGTAGAAACATTTCCTGGAAAAGCTTCAGTATTGAAAAAAGTTTGACATTTCTTTTCATTTTCACCCCAGCGACTGATCATATCTCCCTCCCCAACTCATCTACGACTAAACTTGTAAATTATTCAGGAAATGGATTTAAAAAAGGCTGCTAATGGATGAATTAGTGCTGAGTGAAAAAACATACATAATTAGGCACTTTGTTTCCAGCAGCCTGATGGTTCCTGTTCCTTTGGTTGAATCTAACAAGTAGCCAGACACATCTGAGTGAAAGTAAAGTAGTATTATTATTAGTAGTAGTATTTCAGCACAGACATGGTGATTCCCAAGGAACTGTTAGTCCACTGTTAGTCAAAAACTGGGTAAAAAGGTCATGAAAACATGAAAGAAGATGAAGCTTATTGACCCGGTTTTGGTCTTTCATGTTTGACGCATTTTGTCCTCCATATGGCACAATATTATCTCATGATCCTGCATTTGAAATGAACAACAGCAATTGGTGAACAAAGCGATAAAAGTACCAAAGAAACTTTATAAACTCTGATTGAGGACCACTTTAAAACTGGAAGATTGGGGGAGATGAAATCTCTCCACAGGGCTGTATATTCATTTGTTTAACCTAACCTTTAACCTTTAAACCAGATGCCTCCTGATGTTTTCAGCAGCAGCCAATCACCATGCAGCTGGCAGGGATCTTTGTTTAGCTTCAGAGGTTGTTGTGGGTGGATTTCCTCATCTTAAACTGCAGCAATGCTGGTCATGAACACTTGTTTTTCTTATTCCCGTCCATTAATGGTTCATTGAACCTCCAAACTTGTAATGTTGCATCTATTGTCAAAACCCTAACTTGAATGTATTTTTTTTTATTGGATTTTAAGAGAAATAAACGTGAAAAGAAAGGAAAATAATGTTTTTTTTAAACCTGTGAATCTGAAAAGTGTGGCATGAGAGTCAAAACTCTCAGAGCCAGGCTATAATTGTTACCTAAAAATAATCCATTAATGAAAACTAGAATTAAATGCAAAAAAAAAAAATTTAAACTAGATCTTGCAACAACAAAAACAAAATTAATAAGAGTTCAAGAAACTAATTAAAATCGGTTTGTTTTCAATTGTGTCCTTAAAACGCAGAAAGATGAAGTCTGGTTTCCAGTTGTTTTGCTGTACCGCATTACCCAAGCCTATGGCAGGTACCGCAGTCAGGTTAGTTATGATGCTGCAGCAGTCCATCTATATCTGAGATTTTATTTCTATTATTTCATCTTTAGTCTTTAATGTAAGTTGAATTACATTAAAGACTGAAGCTATAACTGAAACTAATACAAACTAAACTAGCTAACAAATACGAAAAATGTATTATAACTAAAATAGAATTGAAAATCAAAGTCTAGACTAAATAAAAATTAAAACCAAATAAAAATGTCTAAAGTATTTATCTTTAAGCCTTATTTCGCTGCTTTGACAGTTTAAATGTTTTTAAAGTGTGTTTACCAGATTAAAATGTATTAAAACTGAAATGTGTCCTTTCCAAAACAGCTGCAGCTCATTGAGGATCTATATTTGGACTTTGACCGAGCCGTTCCATCTCATTTGCTTGCTCTGACGTTAAAACTGTTTCCATTGCAGCTCTAATTGTATGTTTACGCCGTCGTACTACTGGAAGGTGAACCTCCAACCCAAAACCTTTGCAGCCCCTAACAGGTTTTCCTCCTATACTGTTTATATTCACCTCCAGTGATCTTCACATTGACTCAGACCAGCAGTGCCTTCTAAAGAAAACCACCCCTACAGCATTATACTGCCACCCCCATGCTTTAGCAAGTGGGTGGCCTTTCCATCAATCAAAGGATAAACTACGCAGGTGGACTCTACTACTAAATATGTGATTTTTGAAGGCAACTAAATACCCTAGGTGTTATTTTATGATGTCAGAGTAAAAGCAGATTAATACCAGTTTTCTTTCACTCACAAGTGTGTTTGGTTATCACATAAAATCGCAGTAAAACTCATTAAAGTTTGTGATTACAATGTGACAAAGTATGATCAGTGTCAGGGGTATGAACACTAATGTCACCCTAGACTTAAAGTTTTTTGGGCTGAAAATATCTCCATGCTAAATCTTAGCATGTTTGTTAAATAAAAACCCTGCAGCAGACTGTGGTTACGGTCTGCTGTTTTTTTTTTTGTTAGTTTGTTTCTACAGCAGAATCTAAATGCTTCAAAAGCAAAAAAAAAAAAAAAACTAAAGTGTCTCAAACCTTTACTGTTTGGACCCGTTTGGACATCATCAGTCTTCAAGATGGACAAAATAATAAAATTTTGTGTTTAACAGCAGGATTATAACAACATTCCCATTGAAGCTAGATGTTGTACATCTTAGTTTACTGGCTTTGATCGGGTGTTTGGTCTCTAACAGTATGACCATCAGCTCCAATCCAGCATGGGTCTCCCCATAACCAGCCTTCATTTCATGAAGGCAAACCACTTGGTTCAGTTTAAGTGCAACTTTTAGTATCCCACTACGCCTTTTGAATCAGCAGCTTTCAGAATTCAGTGTCCATCGGGGGAGGGTGGGTCCGTCACCTGGACGTCTGCAGCTGTGGTTCAACAAGATACAGGTACCTCCAGATGGCGTAATAATGAATGCCCGCTCCGACTGCGACAAAAAGATGCCAGATGGCGTGGGCGAAAGGAACGAGTCCATCGCTCTTAAAGAAGACCACGCCCATTGAATAGAAGACCCCTCCCAGAGCGAGCTCACACACGCCTGCACGTTCCACCTGAGACAGAGAGGATGACATGTAAGATGTGTTGATACACAAAAAAAATCATAGCAGAAAAGAAAAAAGAACAATTTGAAAAAGATCTAATCAAAATGAATAACAGTAAAGGGAAAAATGAGACGGAAATATAGAAACTTGATGTATTGAATAATAAAACGGGCTTTATGAATATGTTTCATTAAAATGAAATACTTTCTCTTCTGAAATGCATCTCAGGTTTTTAGAGTTTTTGTTTACGAGCAAAGCAGCATAGGTATAAAATCCTGTTTTATAATTTTATTCCGGATAGACAGATTCTTTCCTGATGCATGAAAAGAGAACTAATCTGCAGAAAGGAATAAAAAACATTCCCAGTAGTATCTGTTACACTCCTCACTCCTGTTTCAGTGACGTTTGAAATAAACCTAAAAGCCGATTTGGCAAATTCTTTTAATCTTTTTCTGAAAATAACACGACCGGACTTGAAGATTTAGCTGTTCAGCTCAGGGCCTTTAAACTCAAAGCTATGAGATGCCAGTAGGAGATTTTAGGAGAGTAGATTTAACTTTCAGGACCTTCTAGTGAGGTTTAACCAAGGAAGACATTTAATAAAGAACATTTTGTTCTGTTAAATTTGAGAAAATAGGATGGAACAAAGAGTTGTTAGCTTGACTTTAGTTAAACTTTTTTTTTCTTAAGCTCACCATGGACAATATGACCAAAGCAGGAACAGCCCCCATTGTCACATAGCCCAGCAGCTCTACCAGTTTGTACCTGCAGAATAAAAAAAACAAAAAACCTCTTTCAGCAGTTCACTGTTTCATCTGAACACATGAGGGCTGGTGTCGGGTTTCAGTCAATATATTTATACAAAGCATGAAAAAAAAAACAATTCACAAGAGTCTTACCGCTCATGGAAAAAAAAGACGTACACGGACCCTACACACGCCATGACCCAGATCAGCCAGCGCATATGGTACGTCCAAGGTCCCAGCTCCCTCAGCATCAACCTGAGGACGTCAACCATTAGACTGGATGAGATCTTTCAATTCTGCCCCATAGTCACAGCAACATTATCCGACTGTGGTGTCTTAGTATTCATGTGTTAAGAGATGGTGTAATACTCCATAGTTGGAGTCAGGAGGAGCATCTCAATACCTGATGCAAAAGTAAAAACACCCCGAATTTTGAAAAAAGCCACTGAAGTAGATAGCATCAAGAAACCCTGACAGAAACAGCCAGGTTTGGGGACGAGTGGAGAGTCAGGATGAGGCAAAGTAACTAAAGTTAATATGACTAAATGATCTAATCACCTAAACTAAAACGGTATCTTGACTTATTGGTAAAATGCTCACCTTAGAAAATTCTATCGTTCATTGTTGCAGTGTTCGTATTTGCACAGTGGCGTGTTTCAGAGTGAGATGATTGGGATGTTCAATTTGTACTCTAAAGTCCGAATCCCACATAGAACAGTGTTTCTCTTTCCATCCTTCTTGTTGTACAAGCAGCTGTACTATTATAACCAGCGCTTTGACATATTAATGGTCCGATCTCTACCGTTTTTTTAACCAATAAGAACAGTCAGCCGCAGTACCCAACCCATAGAGAGCAGCACCAAGATGGCACTATGACAATTATTGTATATTGAAACAATTTTCCATGAACATTTTTTACAATGACATAAAGATGCCACCTGTGAGATAAAATTTCAAATTTACATGCAAAAAAACAAAACATTGTGATTTAGAGTTAAATTGCTTTTTAATAGAAAGGAGCCTGAGAATGGAGCCATGAGGAATCCCGCATTTAATCTGTCTTAGAGGTGACATTTTTCAATTCCTGTCAATTTCACGGCATCGATCTAGCTTGGCTGAATCCGCCAAAAAAGGACTATTCGCTTCACTAGAATTGCGAACTTAGCATCGCTGGCCCTTGCAGGCCTTCACTCAAGCTGCAAAATTCGCATTCAGTGTAAAAGCACCTTTAGATCATGGAAAGAATATGTTTTTTATAATTCACTTAACTAATATCAAAAATTGAGAGGGTAAAAAAGACTGAAGTAAAATAAAAAATAAAATCGGAAGTAATTAAAATAGAGTGCGGTTAAAAATCTTTTAAAAAAATCAGCAATATGATGAGAACAACATAAAAGCAAATAAACTCTCCGTATCGGAAGATACCCAAATTCTGGGATCAGGAATTGGAAGTGAAATAATGTGGATTTGTGCTTTATTTCAATTATATAGAAGTGAGTCACAATGATACATTTGCTATTTACAAACCCGAGAAGTTAAGTCCTAAGGCAGTTGTGTAGCAGAAAAACAACAACAAACCGGATTAACGATGTGATCTCTGTTTACAGTAAAGCCACATGACCTACCAAGGAGAATAGGAGGCAGCAATGAAGAAGTAGATGGCCATTCGGTCACACATGTGGAAACGTTCCTCCAGCCTCCTATAAAACGATGCAAACATTTCACATTCAGTACCATAATATATCTAAAAGAAACTACTATAATAGTAACTACAGGTTAATAAAAACAACATTAAACTGAAAAAATATATAAATTTTAAATATTTTTGTGTTTTTTATGTGGGGGAATAGCTCAACGCTAAATATGTAAAAAGAACAATATTACAATATTAACATTATTCTTTATAAGGAGTCACTAGATCATGTAGCTGTTATAAATTAGATAATTAGATATTTTCGACTATGTAAAAAACTTTCATTTCTTATTCTAATAGGGAAAGTCTTTGGTTTTGACTCATCAGCAGTCTTCCACTGAACTTTTTAACAGCAGACTTCCATCTTATGTTTTTCCTAAAAAGTCTAAGGTGACGTTTAAAACTGCAGGAGCCACTGAGATGCAAAGAGAGGCAAGCACCCACCGGAGGTGGCTGATTTTCCAGGCAGCTGTGTGGAAGAGCGTCGAGGTGAGGAAGAGGCCGGTCAGACCACTGCCATAGAGCAAGGCAGCGACTCTGTGCCATTTATCCACAGAGAGGAAGTATAGCACAGAGCCACCAACCATGCTGGGAAGAATCCAAAACTATAAGAGACCAAAATGTCAGAAATTATTATTCAAATTTACTCAGGGAGCTTTATCCTTTGTTTGTTTCTTTTTTAGTTTCTGAACAGGAATATAAAAGGAAATGATTATTAAAAGATTAAAGTAAAGTAAAGCAGACATGCCGCTACTTGATTCATGGATAAACAGTTTGGACTGAATGAAGGCTGAAAGAAAACAGACTAGGGATCATGTCAGGATCTGGTGTCCAATGAGCTGCTCTGTTTAAATTAATGTGTAGGCGTTAAAAAGCTGGTGGAGCAGGAGGGAACACGCCGCAGTTACAATCTATACGGCCCAAACATGTCTAAGCATTAATAGTCATATTTTCCTGTGTTTCTTCCTTCGCCTGCATTTGTCTATTTAATTCAGACTCTGTGAGGCTGCAGGGATTACAGCAGATTAAACACAATTCTCCGATTATGGCCTTCTGCCACACAGCCAGAAGAGAAAATACAGCGTTCTCCGTAATGCATCATTTACTAAGGTCTCTACATCATCCCACACATGGTGGTTGTCTTACCGCGTGTGTAGCGCAGTTGGCTGCATGTTCGTACTCAGTGGGCTGGTATCTCTTATTGGCCGGAACCCTGCAGTTCATGTACCTGAACAGAACATCAGAGGGAAAAGAGAGGGTTGATCTTTAGTGGTTCTGAAAAAATTATCAAGGAGGTCATTCCTGGAGGGTTTGCAGTTCTATAATCTGCATCACATTGTCTGAAATCTAAAATTAAAGAATCGTGTCGGATTTGTTAATGATGGAGTTTTCGTGTAGCTGACGCTTAAACAACCTTCCCCTTGTGTTTTCCTTCTGCTTCACCTCCTCCTAAGTACTTTCTCTGGCTGAACCATTAAACCGAGCAGCAATAAGAGGTCTGCGCGCGTGATAATGAGCACATGGCCTACATACGCCATCAAACAGCACAGGCCGAAACCAGCATGGACGCACCTGTGGCCCTGCGTTTGGAGGCAGCCGCTCACGTAGCGCTGCGTTTGACTGCGAGAGTGAAAGAAAAAATCTGGTTTCATAACATCTCCAGATGTGCTTCCTCCCCACCCTCCCCCCCGTAAGCTGGAGGGATGGAGGGATTTACTGCTGAAAAATTAGAATCCACATCAGAGGCGCTTACATACAATCAGGGACAAACAAAAGTGTCCACATCCAAGTGTTTTCCCAACTATCCTGGCCAATATTAATGTGAAAATGAACTCTTGTGCAAACCTGTGTTCTAATGTCTTGTTCTGGAAACTTTGGAGTGTTTTTTTCTTACACCTGCTGTCTGTTATATTGAATCCAGTTCATTGTAAATAAAGTTCAGCCGTCTAAGTAGGATTTACCAGAAGTTAGCTCATTTGTGGCTAAACCACAGTTTGCAAAGAGGTTAGAAAAGAATCTGCCTGGATCTGCCTGTGTAAAGATATTAGTTAGAAGGAGGTTTTTATACGCTGTCACACTGAAGGTACTTACAGATAACTGGGAAAAAATAGGAAACTAAGAGGCAGCAATGGAAGCTGCCAGCAAAACTGAGGAAGCAGCATAATTGTATTTCAATTATCCTGCTGTTTCCTAAAATAGTGTTTTAAGATTGTGTTTCAAGGGTTGCAAATATCCAAATGCTCCATAATTCTGTCCTAAAATTGTGTGATGGATTCAAACCCAAATTATTAATTGTAAATCCCTGAGATTTGATTGTCAGGCAAGGAAAAAAAAGGGCAGCACATTACTAAAAGAGCAGGATAACCGCATGGTGGTGGCAGTGTCATGCTCAGGGGTTCCTTTTCTTGTGATGGACCAGAAGTTTTTTCTGGTTAAGATAAGTTCCGGAAAATAAAACATTAAGTTTTGAATTAAAACCTAAGGTGTTATTAATTTTTCCCCCTTATACTGGGAGTCGATTTTCTAGAAAAAGATTATACTTTTGGTGTAAAAGGAGCGTTTTTAATATATATTTACTTATATTTCGTGAGGTTCACTAGTTGATTCTCTCATTGAAACAGATTCAAAACAATTAAAATTTAAACAGAGTATATCTTTGAAACACAGGTACATTTTTAGAAAAAAACATTTAACAAATTATTGCACATACATGTAGCCATCCTGTCATATTATATTATTAAGATGTCAGGAAAAACCTGTTGGCCTGTAGATGTTTATGTGATGCTTTTGTGAATCAATTTAATACATTTTTTGCCAGGCCTGCAAGGATATATTCAAATACAAGACTGTTAAGATCAGAGGTTTATACATAAATAAGTAAACCTCATCTGTCCTTCAACACTCTTCACCACAATAACATCTGTTTGTGTGTTTCTGTTATGGGTCCAGTTAGCAGGGTAAGGAGTCAACTTTACACCCTTATTTTCATTTCCTGTGTCCTCCCATGTCTGTTTTCAACACTGTTGAAGCAGCTTATCCTGCTGTTAGACTTTTTTTAAAAGCCTCACTGGACTTCCTTTCCTAATAACATCACATTAAGACCCAGCATGACTCCAATACTAAAACCATGGTATAAACTCAAAGCTTTTATTGTCGGGCTTCAATTTAAAAAAAAGAAACAACTAGTGAGATAACAGCCGACGTTTGAGTGGCTGCCACTTCTTCCCCGTTTGTCCTCCATCTCTTCAGGCCGCGCCAAGCGCACACAACAAGAGAGCAGTGTTTTCCTCGGCACTGTTGCTGTGTTGTGGGATTTTATGTGGCACTCTGCTGTCCTCTAATCACTTATGACAGCCCTCTGAGAGCGAGGGTGTGTAATCAACTGAAAAAACAGTTCTGATCGGAGAGGATGGCAGCGTTGTCTGTCTTTATTCAGACTCGCTCTTTCCACATAACGCTTGCTTCTTCTTTTCTGCACAGAAGGGGCATCACATGCTGGCTAAATGTTCCCACGTGTCTGTGTACACGATGCCCAGCTTTCACCTCATGAAGGGGGGGGGAATTGGGATTGCACCACATAGCCCGTATGAATAGGATCAGCTGTACGTAATAATGTAAGGATCAGAGCCTCTGGATCCCAGCGTGCGCCTTAGGAATCTGTGTGTAACTCCAAGGCTATTCCTTTCACTGCAAAGATCAAGTTAATCTCCTCTGGGAGTTCAACTCTGGTTCTCACGATTTTAGCCAGATCCCACTCCAACAACAAGGAACGGCCACACATAGGGCCCTTCCTGGAAGAGGACTGGACTTGGTACGCTTTAAACGGGTACAGCAAACTCTACAGCACCAAACATTGACCCAAATCAGGGGTTCGACTAAGAAAGAGATAAGCAACCAACAAGACTTGTGTGTCCTAAACCAAAAACAAAAAAAATAGACCATTATCTTTTTGTTTTCTGTCATCCTTCATGTTATACCCCTAAAAAAACTCTGTGCAGCCCCTCACCTTTAGGAGAACCTAAACAGTAAATCAGCTTGAGAGCAGTTTTTAATTTAGAGGTGAAACAAACATCAAAAAAGGAACACTGCAGACATTTCTGGAATAAAGTTGTACAAAAGTTCAAAGTATGGTTCTTCAATGATAGAACCTATAATAGAACCTTATCAGTCCACCAACCCTGAATAGAAACAGTATGGATCCAACTGCTAACTGACTAGAATATACATTGGCAGGCCAAGCAAGGAGAGCATTAATAAGGGAAGCACAGATAAAACTAATTGGACATTAACCTGAGCACAGGTGGTGGCAGCATTATGCTGAGGGAATCTTTGCCTCAACAGGGACAAAACAAAACAGTTAGAGGCTGCAGACATACAGCCAGAATGAAACTGCTAAATCAAAGTGCACGCCTAAAACTTGGAATATTGATGTTCATATTTGTAATTAAATTAGAGGGATCTTAATCTTGACTTCCAAAGTTGGTTAAACAAAGTATTGTCTTTGGGAGGCTGAAAGTCAAATTACATTTTGTTTTAGAAAAAATATATAAAACTGTTGCTTCCACTCAACAGTACACACTATTTAGTGTTGGTTTTATCACTGAAATCCGGGGATAAATGTATTGCTTTGTGATAACGTTTTGAAAAGTTCAACATTGCAAAGGTTTTTTTTCCTCTCTCTCTTTTTGCCAAAAGAAAGATTGAAATTTGAACTGATTGCTCCTTCGCGTGCACGCGCTCACTAATCTATAACATCCCTCTGTCTGTCCACGCGCCAGGATGCACAACATCTGTTGCTCAAACATTACATGTTTTGGTTTCTTCGGAGAAACATGATTACCTTCCAAATTTTGTCTTCTTGAAGTCCATGTCGCGCTGGCTACGAGGGCGCGTGCGTCGGTGCGCTCGCGCGCTCTTCACTAAACCAGAGCGGACCGTGGTCTCCTCCTCCTCCTCTTACGGGCGCCCCATGCCGGATGTCCCACCGCCGTGCGTCCGGAGATGATATTAATAAAGCGGTGCTCAGTCATAAGTCAGGCATTAAGTGGCAGGATGGGGCAGCTAGAGCTGGAGCGCACAGACTTCCTCCAAACGGAGAGGCATCCCGACAGGAGCGCGGACGGAGGGAGCGAAGTGCTGCGCGTCGCTGCGAGGGGCAAACTGAGCGGAGTTTGGTTTCGACTCCCCGACTTGTTTGCAGGATGTTCCACGGAGCTGGGCTTGTAAGCCCTCCCCTCCTCTTCCTCCTCTCCTGATGATAACGCAGCAGCAGCAATAACAGCTCCTCCTCGCTGCACATTAGTGGCATTTGGAATAAAACGCAGAACATCCTCCTGGCAACTGTCTCTAGAGACTAACCAGACAGTGGACTAAGTGTCAATAAAAAAAAACTATCTGCAGGTGTCTGGATTTGTAAATGTAAGTCAGTAAACATGAAAAAAAATTAAGATTTTTATTATTTTTTCTTGTTATTTGCTCTGATTTACATCTGCGGAAGAGGACTAGGGCCACTGGACAAAAAAAAGTTAATTGATTTTATTTCAGTTTAATATGGGAAAAAAGTCAGAATTCTGACTTTTTTTCTCAGAATTCTAACTTTAATCTCAGAATTTTGGATCTTAATTTAGATGGGGTCCATGAAGGAAGAGATGTTGGAGCACTCAGCTTCACTGACAAAGATGGGAGTTGTTTGAGAGGGCCAGTGACACATTGGTTGAAAATTATGGAATTAGGCAGCTCATGCCCGAGGGGTCCCCTCATTAATGGAGGAGCAGAAGGTGATTAAAACAAGAGAGCTAGTCTCTAAAACAGACATGGCTACGGCTTAATGCTAACATGTTTGTAAGCTGTCAGAATTAAGTCAGAATTCTGACTTTTTTCCCATATTAAACTGAAATACATTTGGAAAAAAAAAAAGTTTACTGATTTTTTAGTGGCCCTAGTCCTCTTCCGTAAACATCAGAAGAACTCAAGTCAAGAAGGTACAACTTTGCAAAACTACAAGTAGGCCAAATCACACTTTTTAAATTACAAATCCAATCCAGGAGCATGGATTATAAATATATAACTACAGATCACTTATATATGAGTAAAAATCACAAATGTACAATCAAAAAAAATTTGAAATTTATGAAATTAACAAGAACAAATCAGAAACTTTGAAGTAAAAATCACAAATTTATAAGCAAAACCCTCAAATTTCTGAACACAAACTTCAAACAAGAGCAGATCTAATTTTTTGTGTCCTGTTTTGCCAATATAATTCTGGAAATTACTGTCCAATAGCTAAATGACAGCCCAACAGCTTTACTTTCACAAGCAGACCATGGTTGTTGCCATAAGGTTTTACCTGGTACTTGTTTCTAAGACTTTATTGAGAATTATTTGGGGAATAAAATCATTTAAAAAAATATGCCGATAGAAATCTAACATTTCTGAGAATGATTGATGAACTAAAAAGAATCTCGTTAGTTGACTCATGCCTCAAAATGTTTATTTTTGCAAAAAATAATATACATTCTTTTAATTATATAGAAAGCAGTTTATAACAAGAAAAAAGCAACTTTTTAGATATGTATTTTTATAGGTTACCTTAATGGATTTTTTCAGAAAAATCTAATCAGGATTTAATATATATTAATAAAACCATTGCTATTAAATCATGCCAAAAAATAAAATTGTACTACAGATGCATTACACTTTAATGCTAATTAATATAGCCACTTAGTAAAAGTTAAAGGTGCCAGAAGACACATGGTGTAGGAAGTTTTTAATATTTGAACATAAGATTAAGTTAGCTTTTAGTAACTCTAAGGAGATCAAATTTGAACTTGGAAAAAATTGAATGAAACATGACTATAAAAAATTATGTTAATGTATCTTAGGAAAATTAATTTGAAGGATTAATTTCTACCCAATCACTTTGTTTGTCTGATTTGCCCTCCATGTTAAAGCTACTGTGTGTAATTTTCAGCGGTATCTGATGGTCAGACTGCAGTGACATAAACTGCCCTCCCACACTGCCTCTGCCCTCCGAATATATACGGAGGCCCTTATGGTACAAAATGGCTCTAGCGACGTCCGCTTTACCTACCTTGTCAGGTGATGATGAGATTCATTAACATTAGATTACAGCATCAAATCCATTAATTATTAAATACTATTTTCTCAAGTACAGTAACAATTATAATCATTAGGAGATGAGAAAGAATCATGAATTGACCAAAGATTTATTGAAGGAGGCGGCAGAGACAAGCTGTTTCAAATCAAAATGGTAGAAAGATAAAATAATGCAGTATAAATAATGAAAATAATGTAGTGTAAATAATGAAGTATAAAGCGGGGAATAATCAATAGGTTTGTGGGTGGCTTTTAAAAAAGCCATTGTCATTTAGCCCTAGAAGGACTGTTTCATATCCTACCTCTAGTGGAGACACTAATAGCTGATCCCTTCTCTTATCCCACTCTTCCGTTCGCTCCACCTGCAGGCTCCTCTCCTCAGCGATCCCCTGTCCATCTCCAGCAGTTAGCCTCTAAATGCTAGCCTTGGCGTGCCGTCATCTCTTCCTGCTCTGTCTACCTAGCAGGCTCCTCCGATGTAACACTGTCCTCCTCACGTAAGCCTCAGCCACTCTACCCTGCCTTCGGGCCTCTCTCCACCCAGCATACTGATCGATCTTCCACCATTCTGCTTCAATCCTCTGCAGTTAGCCTATCATTAGACCAGGCCAACTGTATCATCCTCTGGGCCATCAACACTGTGTCCCAGCAGGATTCTCTGAGCCGTCGCTGTGCTCCTCATCTCTTTTCCAGAGCTAGCAGCAGCAGCCTGCCGCCTCTGCTGCTGTGGTTCCTTAGCTTCAGAGGGTGGAATGGCTGGCCGGCTCATCCTGGATATGGATTTCTCTCTCAGCCGCTGTTCTCACACGATTCCCCTCCGCTCCTGCCTGAGCTCAGGAACTGTCTCACCTTACCTGTGTTGTCCAGGTGATTCGTCCCCCTGTTTCGGGCACTCTGCCCTAAAGGAGAAAGATGTGAGTCCACTCAGATATTTAAATCGGTTTTACATAGATCATTTTACAAACCATACTTTATTATAGTGTAGGATTGTATATAGGCCCAGGGTCATAACTACCATTGAGGACACCGAGGTCATGTCGTCTGTATTTTTTAATTTACGTTTGCTTAAATTGTGATATCAACTAGAAATAAAGGAAACTGAATGTAGGGTGATGATCTAGGTCTCCCACAAAACTGCGAGGTGTTTTTTTATTTCAAGAGCAAAGATTAACGCCAATATCTAATAAAATAGTAGCTGGGGGGTTCGGGGCATTTGTGCTGCACTTCCTCATCAGTACGCACTATCGCTATGGCAACTGCCACAAACAGGCTACAGACACCGATAGTGAGTCTGGCAGTAACGGCGTTCTGTCAGAACAGCAAAGACTGTCAGATCGGCATAGGCTTAGTTTTTATATAACTATAATTAATTCTGTGACAGCTTGTGTTTTTAAAAATAATACAGATGAAAACAAAATGAAACAAAATTTAGATTCCCGCACAAACATCTTTTTAATTCTGAAGTAACTTATTTTAAATTAATATTGACTAGTATCGTTTTAGCTATAGAGGCTTCTTCTTTCATCCAGCAAACTTGAATCATGCCGGGCAGTTCCAACATCCAAGAAATAGCAGTATAATCAAAGTTGATTTTCTTTTTTAAATAAAATAAATAAATATATATATAATAAATAAATATAATATATTTATTTATTTAAATATAATAAATATATTTAAATAAATAAATGTAAATATTAGAAAAGTGTATGCCATTCTGTTCCTCTGCATCCCTAAAACTTTTCTTTGTGCTCAAACAAATTCTAGATCTGTATTAAATGAGCATATTTTGCAGTACTGATCATTCCAAGTTTATGTTTTAAGATTATTTTAAGCAAGAAAACTCTGGATTGAGAAGTTTCGAATGGGTCAGTTTCCCCCTGTTTCTGTTGAATTGTTGATTTCTCATCTGAGGAATAAAATGACACACACACAGAGCAAGACGGATATCGCCTTTTTCTGCTAAACATGGAGGAAAGCTAAAAAATGTTTTGTAATGCACAAATTTCCTTCAGAATTTTTTTTTTATTGGTCTGTATGAGGTTTTTATAGACATCAGTTTGTTTAAATGCACAGGAAAACATTTTTCAAAGGTCAAAATTTTCCTTTTTACACAATTTTATACAGGAATGCAGGATGCTTGCTGTTATTTTCTGTGGGAAGAAGGAAAGAATAGGAACGCCGTGCATGTTCTACTGCATGTACGATTTGAATATGCACTCTGTCGCGCTTCTCTGTGGCACTGATTTAGTCAAATACAGAAGCATGGTAGGTGGCTGAAATGTCAAAGCTGGAATATATGCGCTGCTGCTTTGTTTCTGAATTGATTAACTATAAAGATACTGCAGCATATCATACCCATGAAATAAGTATTATAAAAATACATTAAGATAATAAATAAAGAGGTCACGTGATTAGTGAAACTCAGACTCTGTAATGAGCACTGTTTTTTTAGTGTAGAAATGATGCAGACTTTCTGTGAAAACATCACTTTTATTGCTGTTAAGCAAAGGAGAGGATTGTTCATGACTTTGGAGCAATTTGCAGCCAAAGGCAGCAGGAAGGCATTTAGTTCAATTTCTATGAGGAAACTTGCATTTGAAAAACAAAGAGTGACAACATAAAGCTGCTGTTTCTAGATTTTAATCATTAACCAACTTGAACAAGATCAGGCAGGAATATTTTGCTGTGGCTTCTAGAATGAACATCATGAAGTCAGCAGAGAGATCTTTAACTAAAGCATTTATATAGAAGAATTTATTAACGTCTCTTTGATCCAAAATGTTTTTTCAACACAACCCAACAAATACATTTTTAAGAATATGTGCATTACCTAATAAACATCTTATGGTGAGATTTTTAATACTCATTCAAAGTCGGAAGATGTACTCTAATGACGTTAAAGAATCTGGAATAGCCAGGATGGTGTCAGGGCTTGTTAAAGCTTCCTAATTCATAACATTTGTGTTTAATAGAGGCACAGCTGTGGGCGTATTGTACCGGCACACCCTAAACACTTTCTTTAGCGCTACTAGATCAAAAAGAAATCAACAACAAACAAAAAAACAAAAAAAATCCGGTTTCAGTTTTTAAATGCATACAGGCTCTTTGTGCACCTTTTCAAACTGTTATCAAAGTTTAAACTCCATGAGAATGTCCAGCTATCATAACATGGTTTTCAGGAAAGCGATGGATTCTGCACACCAGATATGAACCTGTTCTTGTGTTCAATCTGCCAAATTACAC